AAATTAAACTTTTAATTACTGAAAGAACCTCTACCTGTATTCAACAGTTAATTAATGATAGCTAAAGAAAATTGGTGAGCTAGAAGAACCATCTGAGGGAATACAGATGCATCTCCCAAAGAGGAAAAGAAAGGGAAACAGGACAGAGAGGATAAGATTATAACATCTAATATTATGGATAAGAATTAATAGTAAAGTAGAGAAAATATTTGAGGAGATTATGATTGAGAAATTTCCAGAGTCCATAAAAGATGTCTCAAATTTAGGCAGTCAGAGAGACCCCAGGCACAATAAAAATAAATAACCACCTGTCACATTATAGCAAAGAAAGAAAAGCAACCAGAGGCTTAAGATGATGTATATTCACAGGAGTACCAGTCACTGATGGAATTCTTAAATAACTGAGGAAAAACAAGTCAGTAATCCAGGAGAACATAAAAGCTAAGTGCCAGGGCTCATACCTATAATCCTAGCTACTCAGGAGTCTTAATATCTAGAGAATTGAGGTTTGAAGTCAGCCTGAGAAGTCACCAAATTAGCAAAGAGCTAATCTAAAGAGACAGCTGAGCTAGCAGGCTAAAGAAATGTGATAAAAATCACATGTAGATAAAAGGAATAAAAATAATATAGTTGAGAGACGATTTTAAACTGCATAAAATATTAAATGGGAACTGTAGCTAAAAGGGGAGTATAAGGGACATTTCTATGGACCACAACAAAGTAAAATTGAAAGCTAGTATCTAGTCTGCCTGAATTGCAAATTGAATGTTAAAAATCCATAGTTACAGTGGGAAATTTTAGCAGGTCACCTTAGTAATTGTGTGTGTGTGTGTGTGTGTGTGTGTGTGTGTGTGCGTGCGTGCGTGCATGCGTGCATGTGTGTGCACACGCTTGCTTGGGGTTTGAAGTCAGGGCCTGGGCACTGTCCCTAAGCTTGCTGTTTTGTTTTGTTTTTTTCCCTCAAGGCTAGCACTCTACTAGAGAAAGAGAGATTAATCAATTGAAGATAAAGTCTCCCAGATTTTCTTACTCAGCCTGATTTCAAACCTTGATCCTCAGATCTCAGCCTCCTGATGTAGCTAAGATTACAGGCATGAGCCACTGGTGCCAGCAATAATACTCTTAAAAGCAGAGATAGGGCATGTAGGACATCCAATTAAAAAATTAAGGAGTAAAGGGAAATCTGTGTAAAATTTTTAAAAAGTGTAGGGTGCTGGTGGCTCATGCCTATAACCTCAGCTACTCAGGAGGCTGAGATCTGAGGGTCACAGTTCAAAGCCTGCATAAGCAGGAAAGTCTGTGAATCTCTTAACCACCAGAAAACCAGAAGTGAAGCTGTGGCTCAAAGTGGTTTTGTGCAAAAAATGCTCCGGGACAGTACTCAAGGCCTAAATTCAAGCCCCATGACTGACAGGAAAGAAGGGAAGGAAGGTAGGAAGGGAAATTAATTGCAGAAAGTAGAAATTGCAAAAGAATAATAGAGCAGATGCACAAAACAAGTTTGTAACATGATTGATCCATCAACAATAAAAAGAGAAAAGGGCTGGGCACTGGCGATTTGCACCTATAATCCTAGCTATTTGGGAGGTTGAAATCTGAGGTTCAAGGTTTGAAGTTATCCTGGGTAGAATAATCCATGAAACTCTTATCTCCAATTAGCCACCCAGAAAAAAAGCCAGAAGTGGGGCTGTGGCTCAAGTGGTGAAGTCCTAGCTTTGAGCACCAAAGTTCTGGACAGTGAAGGGGAGATGGTGGAGGGAGAGGAAAGAGAGAACAGAATTTGGCAATATTGGGAGAATTGTATTTGTACACAAATATATATTTTTTGGGGGGGTTAGTCGTGGGGCCTGGGCACTGTCCCTCACCTCTTCACCTCAAGGCTAGCACTCTACCACTTGAGCCACAGCACCACTTCTGGATTTTTCCTCTTATGTGGTGCTGAGGAATCAAACCCAGGTCCTCATGCATGTAAAGCAAGCACTCTATCAATGAGCTCTACCACCTTCCCAGCCCCACAAAAAAAAAATTTTTTATCGGTCATGGGGCTTGAACTCTGAGCCTGAACACTGTCTCTCAGCTCTTCAGCTCAAGGATAGTACCACTTGAGCCACTGCACCAATCGGGTTTTCTGAGTGGTTTATTGGCAATTAGAGTTTCACAGACTTTCATTCCCGGCCTTGCTTTGTACGGCAGTCCTCAGATCTCAGCCTCCTGAGTAGCTAGAATTACAGGCATGAGCCACCAGTGCCAGCTTCACAAAGATTTTAAGGATTTTTTAAAACAAGAAAATAGTATGAAGAACTTTTGCCTGTATCCTCAGGCATGAAAACATCTGAATGAACTCAAACAAATGGTTTTAAAATGTCTCCTAACACATCTAAAGAAAACACCGCAAATGGTATTAGGACAGGTTCTCCATATAGAGACACAGCCTCTGAAATGGCAGATTCAAAACTTACACATTTTTTATCTTATTTTTACAATGAATTTACCTCCTTAGACCAGCAAGATGGTGAGCACCTGCCACAACAACACCTCACTAATGTTTCTCATAGAAAATGCTTTTTCCCAATCATATTAAGTGAAGTAAGCTAGTCCAAGAGAAAGTTAGGCCTCATGGTTTCCTTATTTGCAATAAATAGAATATGTATAGGATAATCTTACCAGATGAACTGAAAAGCTCAAACGCTATGTACATAAAAGTTGATGCCAAGTGAAATCAACCCCAAGATATGGACACTAGAGGTCTGAGTTGTTTTAAATGTACTGGGTGATTTTTGTGTTTGTTTCCCTTGTATGTTCTTCCCCCTATGGTATATCCCCTGTTGTCACTGTACTTGATTTTGGTACCTTGCATCTTGTATATACATTTGTCTAATCTGGGGAGGGGAAGGGGAATAACAAAATGGTGAAACAAGGACACAGGATGACCCATTGCAACAATGAGACCCACAGGACAGTATATTGGAAACAAACTTTACAACTTCAGTTGGGGGTGGGGGGGATGTTAGTGGGACAACAAGGGAAGGGGTAACAATGATCAACAACTAATGTACTCATTGCCTCACTCATGTAACTGTAACTCCTCTGTACAGCAAGCATGCTCTTCCCCAAGACCTCCATTAGGGGTCTTTGAATACTACTTCTGTGGATACCTCTTAGGAGTGAAAGTGGTAACCTGAAGTCTGCAAATATATATTTATATATATATATATTTATATATTTATATATATATATATATATAGTGTGTGTGTGTGTGTGTGTGTGTAATATATCACTATAAAGTCCCCCAAGAATTTTGAGCAATTTTTAAAATTTTGTTTTTGAACATACATTTGTTAATACATATGAAGAGGTTTCATTGTGATACTTCCATACATGCACAGTCTACTTTGAGCAAATTCACCCCTCCTGTATTCCCATTTCCTCCTTGAGTAATTTTTTTAGAAGTCTAAAACTTGATAGGTAAATCAAAAAGAAAATGAAATCTAACAAAACTGTTTTCTTGGGTTTTTGTTTTGTTTTTGTTTTACAATTAGACAATAGTCAATATAACTTAGTTAATTGACATTATTAAGGTGCAGATTTGTGATACCCACAAGCTCTGTAAAAATCAGTACTGGGGCTTGAACTCAGGGTGTGGGCACTATCCCTGAGCTCTTTCGTTCAAGGCTGACACTCTACCACTTGAGCCACAGTTCCACTCATGGCTTTTTGCTAGTTAGTTAGAGATAAGACTTTGCTGTCTCTTCTGGCTTCAAACCACACTCCTCACTACTTAGCCTTCTTAGTAGCTAGAATTACAGGCATGAGCAACTGGCACCCAGCTCAGTTCTGACATTATATGTTTTATAAGAAACTGTTCCATTACTGCTTTTTACTTTGTTTTTAAGTTAACAAAAGTAGTTATTTAATTCATAAGCAAACCTTAATTTAGTGATAGATCATTTTCTAGATGCTAAACTTTATACACTAAAAGTTTGGTATACTTCTAGATATTTTTTTTCTTGTCTTTAAGTTCTATTGTTTCCTTAGAAAACTATAAGCAGAAGTCACTAGGGTATATTGGATCCTTCAGTGTCAGAAATTCCTTACCTTCCTGGTAAGGGTCAAGATAGTTAATGATATATGATGTTACATTTAGCCCTGAGTTATTCATGTTTATTCTTCATCTGTGGATCAGTGGGAAAAACAGTGATTTAAGGTCTGTATATTGAAATAATTAGCCTAAAATATTGAAAATCTGATCTGCCAGAGAGGTATAAAGATATTTACATGTTTTTCTTGGTTATTTTCAGTAATAAAAGTCATACATTAAGTAGAATTTTCTCTTCAGTCTAACTTTATAATGACCTTAGGAAAGTTTTAGCCAAAGATAAGTGATTATTTTATTTCATGTGTGTGTTAGACTTGGCATCTTCGTACTGGAAAGTAATTGCTTTTTTAACAAAGACAGCTTTTAGGGATTCTTAACCTAACACCTTAGGCAAGTTCCTACTGTATGCAACTGTCATCGTTTTAAAATCTTTTCTGTAATACCAAAGTAACTTTGGAAAATTAAACAGAATTAAGCAAAAAAAATCCTCTTCAGTTTTTCAAAAGAACCCAGATATATTCTGAATTTTATTTTTTTCAGTTTTTCATAGTAACAGATTTGTGTTTTCAGCAACACTTTGAAAATAGTAATTGGTTAAAACCCAACCTGAAATTTTCTGAAGAAAGTGTTAATTGACAAAACAGCTACTAATATAGTATATTACTCTTTAGCCAACTTAACAACAACAAATTGCCTAACAAATACAATAGAATATTAATTATTCTTGCTATATAGTATTTAAAGAGCTTACCTGCAAAAGCCTGGGAGAAGTACCCTTCTGTTTCCACTTCACTTACAACTTTTCCTTTATACTTTGCATCAGTTTCTTGAAAGAGAGTATTTTTAATTAAAGTTAGATCACTAGAAAAAGTAGGTAGATTCATTTCCATAGTGTTGAAAATGCAGCTGTCAAATGGAAAATTTTAGCTGAAAAAAATGCTGTAGTATGTGCTTTTTGTTATTTTTTTTTTGTCTCTGCTAGTCCTTTTTCAGTTCAAGGGCAAGACTCAGAACAGTAGAGATGGTAGGTGGCTGTTGGCATTTGGTACAGCTCTTCAGACTTAAAAGCACAGTGCAAGAAGTTTCTTTGTAAGATGAGTTTATAATTTATCAAGTCAAAAAATGTGAGTTCTACCTCCAAACTAAAAGAGGAATTTATAAACAATAAGAAAAGTTCCACGGTTCATTCTTTGTGATCGTTGGGTTGAGCACTTCTTTCACAGTGTTGAAGAAAGACAGTCTTCCACCATCAGCTGCAACACTGCTATTGTTGGTATGATTCTGTAATCAGTGAAGGTAACTGCATTAGTCTGGCCTCCAGGACCCAGATAAGTAAAGAGCCTCACTGTTGCCCCTTTCGTAGATTGAAGAGGTAAAAGCATCCTGAGAGCATATAGGAACTTAGACTGGAAGGCTGACTGTGATGCTGTGAGGTCAGGCATTTCTGTCTTCATGGTATCTGCTGCTTGTTATTCTGGTAAAACTACTACCAAGCCTCTTCTTAGTAGTTTAGTCCATAAGCATTTCAGAATTTCCAAAGTGGGTTCTTTTCATTATGATTCACCACTGGTTACTGACTGTTCCCCTTAAGATAGTATTATGAGATAAAAATAATTTTTATCTTTTTGTTTTGTACCTTTGGTCCTGGGACTTGAATTCTGGGCTTAGGCTCTGTCCCTAGTTTTTGTGCTCAAGGCTAGTACTCTACCACTTGAGCCATGGCGCCACTTGCAGGGTTTACTGTTAATGTGGTAGTGAGGAATTGAACCTAAGGCTTCATGTGTACTAGGCAAGCACTCTACCACTAATCCACATTCCCAGCTCCTTATGTCTTTGTATTTTGATACAGTGTTAACAGTAAAGACTTTAAAAATTAACCATATATAGACTATTTGTCTCCTAGGTAATTATTATATTAACTAATAGACAATGTTTTATTTTGAAAATTCACAAAAATGGTAAAGTTCAATGCGATTTTAAAATTTGACTATTAGAAAGTAATTTCAAGCTGAGCACCAGTGGCTCACACCTATAATCCTAGCTACCCAAGGAGGCTGAGATCTGAGGATCAGAGACTTTTTTTTGGGTCCGGTTGTGGGGCCTGAACTGTGGGCCTGAGCGCTGTCCCTCAGCTCTTCAGCTCAAGGCTAGCGCTCTACCACTTGAGCCTCAGCGCCACTTCCAGCTTTTTTCTTATGTGGTGCTGAGGAATCGAACCCAGGGCCTCAGGCATGCAAGGCAAG